CACCGGAGCCGGGGAGCGCAGGGGGGTGGGAGGCCGCCCGTGCTGCCTTCCAGCGCCCGGCGGTGGGCTCTGCACCCGGAGCTTCCCAGTCCCAGGGCTTTCGCCCGGGAGGTGGCTGTGGGGACTGGTGTGCCACCCTGGCTCGGGGAGCAGTTCGGTGCGTCATGGTTCCTGCCTCGCTTGCCAGGTTTCCTTCCCGGGGATAAAATGGCCATGAAAGTTGGCTCCTGCGATCCCACAGAACATCCCCAGCTGAATTTGGGTCGGCTAAAAGCCACACCGAAGTTCCCCTGCCGTGGGGATCGCTGGAAATTCCCCCCAAGTGTTGCCCACCGCCTCTGAAGCTGGGTAGTTCATTTCCAGGGGAGTTCACTGGAACTCGGGTGGGAGCTTTAGAAGTATTTTGGAAAACAAATTCTCCTTTTGTGTCTTGAACGTTGCCTTAAATGTTTTCCTGCTGGCAAGTACGCGTGCCTCCTGGGTTTGGTCCGGCACTTTTCACTGGCCTTGGTGCTTGGCATTCGTGGACTTGGTGAGGTTTAGTTTGGGAAAGGAATTTGTCGCTGGAGGCCGCGCGCAACGGGGAAGGCGTTTCTGATCCTCGTTTACTTGTTGCGATGAGCAGAGCTCTGGTGCCGTCACGGTGGGGCTGCCTGGAGCCTTCCCGTGCGGGCGCAGCCTTCCCCTGGGCCGGGCTTATGCAGAAGCGAACCTGCACCTCTCTAATTACTGCGTTTCTTAATTGTAGACTTCGAGTCAGACGCAGCCATGAAAGACCCGAGTCGCAGCAGTACCAGCCCAAGCATCATCAGTGAAGATGTGATTATAAATGGTCATTCTCATGAAGATGACAATCCCTTTGCGGAGTACATGTGGATGGAGAACGAAGAGGAATTCAACAGGCAGGCAAGTCATTTCCCTCGATAAAGGTCTTGTGATGTTCCTTGCCGTCTTCTGGCTGAAGGGAGAGGTGCTGTGGCTTAGCAACCGGGGTACAAGGCTGGGAATCCTTTAGAGAGCGGGGTGTTTAGATAGGCTTGCTCGAGGAATCCCGGGGAACAGACAGATCTCTCTTCCTCTGGCAATAAATACTTATTTTCTGTAATCTTGGTGGAAAATACGGGAAGTGCGGTGTGTTCTAATGCATCCTCTGACTCCCTGCTTCTGCAGGAGGGAGGGGGCGAAAAATACTTGATGGGCTCTATGTGGCCCTTAGGAAGGGGCCGGTCCTGCGGGGGCTGGTGGGCGTAGCCGTGGGGTGACAGGCCTGGTCCTTGCCTAGTGCTGAGGGGTCTGACAGCTGCCCTTCGCCGTCGGGTTGGAGGGAAGCCTTACCTTCGTCTTTCACCTCGCATCCGGAGGCAGTTTTCTCTCCTGCGGGGGCTGGGAGCAGCCTGCGTCTTTCCCCACCCCTTTCTTAATCAAAACTTGATCTTTGGACTCGAGTAGCTGCTTTCTCGGCGCTCCGGCACGGTGCGGCCGTGCTGAGGTCTGAGCTTCTGAAATAGGCTATGTCTGCTGCTCTCTCTTCGGGGTGCCAGCAGGGCACAGAGCTGACCTGCAATTCAGGTTGCTCAGAAAAATCTAAATTCTCCCGTGCGCCCGCCAGGACGGTCTCGGTGTTGTTGCCCGTTGGGTGGGTTTTCCCCTCCTGGGGGCGGCGCCGTCGTTAGCACGCAGGATGTGCTGCTTGGGGAAGGAGCTGAGGGTCGTGCCCTGAATAGACTGTTTTTCAGGTACAGAGTGTGTTTTCAGAGAAGGGGAAAGGTGGGAGCACGAAGGGAGAATGGCCTTACTGAGGCAGGCAAACACCACGGGGCAGCCTGCTGCGGGCACAGGGCTCTGGGCGACCTGAGCGAGTTAAACTTGGGCTGGGAAATACAAACAGGCGATGTTAATGGCCAGGCATCTGGGGCATTATGTGTTCTTCAGTCCTTCTGGAGCTGACCTTGGAGGCACCTGGGGGTCTACAACCGTGTAAACCGGGCGTGGTTGGGGCGGGGGGTTGGAATTGTCTGGGCAGTGGCTTAGAGCAGGGGGTGGCGAGTCCCTGTTCCCCAGAGCTGTGCGTCTCGAGCACCAAGAGAGCTGCTGCGTGTTTGCCCCAAGCACAGGGGACCTCGACGTCCCGAACTCTGGCACTCGCTGTTTTGATGCAGCATTTGTGCTACGTAACCGAATTTCCACTTTAGGATCCAGTATGTGTTTGTGTTCAGAGTGGAGGATAGATAGGAAAGCTGGTTTGAGTTTCCACTGAGAGAACTTTTAACTCTGACCCAAATCATTTTTCCGCTCCCTTATGGTCTGGCCACTCGTTCACACCAGCTCCTGTTTCCCTGCTTTCCACTCTTCGGTGCTGCAGTGCAGGACGTGGAAAATTTGTCAGGATGAACTCCCTCCGAAGCTTGTTTACTGGACAACCGAGCACAACTTTCCTTTCATCTCTGCAGTGTCTGTCCGTTCTGCATCGGTTGCTTTGCCCCGCTTGTAGCGCAGCAGGTCGGCGTTCGTCGCCACCGCTGAGATCCCGCGGGGCTCCTCGGGAGAGCTGCGCTGGGTGAACGTGGAATCCACGGCCGAGGAGATGCTGCTGGTTCCCCCCTCCCCGGTGACAGGCAGTGGTTATTTTTTCCCCAAGAGTCTTGCAGGACACTTTCCTAGGGAGGGTGCCTGGCTGCTGCGTTGTCCCCGGTTCCCTTCCTCGCCCTTGCGGTGCGTTCAGCCCAGGCTAGTTGGTACAACTGGAATTTTCACTCGGAAACAACATTTTTCCTTCTCCTTGAGCTTGCAACAAGCTGCAAATGGAACAGCTCAGGCCGGTGGGGGGGTGTGTGTGTTCTCCTGCCGTTCCCTTTGTCCTGAGTTCCTGGGACAAAGCACTTTTCTACATTGAAAAAATCCAAGCTGTTGCCTTCCTGCAGCACAAGCGTGGTGTTCTGCCAGAAGTCCTGTGCTGGAGGTGGCGGGGGGGTCAGCTGGGTGCACAAACCCTGGAATGACAACACAAGCCTTCGGTAAGTTTGTTGATGAAACGGTTTCTTCTTGTTGTGTAGATCGAAGAGGAGTTGTGGGAAGAAGAATTTATTGAGCGCTGTTTCCAGGAGATGCTGGAAGAAGAGGAGGAGCACGAATGGTTTATTCCAGCCCGTGATCTCCCACAAACAATGGATCAAATCCAGGACCAGTTCAATGACCTTGTTATCAGTGACAGCTCATCACTGGAGGATCTGGTGGTAAATTCAGTTTCTCATCATGTTTCTAAAACTTGCCATCTCTCTCTGAGTTGTGTTGCTGATAATGACAAGAGAACATCCTTTACCAGAGGCTCTTAAACCACACCTGGCTGTGGTGGAGGGGAAGGGTGGAACAGTTGGGTGAGGGATCTTTCCTCGAGTGACTTGAACGGTTTGGTGGTTTTCTCCGTAACCACGTGGCGCCTTTCCTCGCCCGTGGCGTAAGTTCAGGTGGCCCTGGGTCCGTGTAAGGTGTTCTGAAGGGGAGGCAGGGAGCGGAGCCTCTGAGACGCCCTTTGGGGATGTCTTGGTTTGAAAGACAGGTGTCT